TTTTCTTTATCAGTTTTGTATTCACAAAATCCTATCTAATAATATCAATATTAATAATATCTCCTATTATGATGCATTGCTCTTCATTTTTAGGAATAATAATCAATTCAGAGTATAACAGGCGTTGCATTTGATAAAACACAGGGAAATAAGAAAAACTAAATTTCACCCAAAATTGTGAAATTTCAAAACACCGTTCGTTAGATCATCATTGTCTGTAAAATGTTGATGAAATCAAGTTGATAACCATCGAAATTTTGAGTTTTGGGTCACACAAACTTCTAGAAATATGATTCTTTGGTGGATAAAAAAATTAACTATAAAACTAAAAGAGGTACAATCTGCTTTGCTAGTTAATTAGCACCATTCCGTGTTTTTTGTACATAGTCAAATATTTCAAAATTCAGCTTGGAAAACGAAAAAGCAAAGAAATCGTGTCCGGCTTTTTCTACATTACTCCTAGGTATAGTTTGGCAAACGGATCTGCGACATCGGGGTATCGGTGAGGGGAAAGCAAAACATGGCTGGTTTCATTCATAAAATGCCAGCGGCGTGCGGTATTTTATAAAAGTTTGGGATTATTTCATAATTGGTTTAAATTTAGTAATCTATACGTTTATGTTTCACTTTAAATTTGGGAAGCCCACAATAATATGGAGCATTGTCCATAATAATAAATAGAGTCTCGGGTAAACTCAAAAATAGCTGTTCTCTACATTCTACACCATGTAAAAAAACACTCGAGTTTGTTTTTACACTTCAACAAACGGAAAAATATCTACTCACTTCCCAAAATTGCCACAATTCAAAAAATCATGATAACTGCGCGATTTAAAACCTAATTTGAAAATCAAGCTAGCGTTTTTGTCAAAGCCGTAAATAAAATATATTTTTCAAATACAAATAGATACTTGGTTTTTTACCTTGAGAATATATATATATATATATATATATATATTATACATCCGTGATCTTATAATATGCTCATTCACTTTAAAAAGTGCCACAAGCCGAAACATGACCAGAATTAATTTTTATTTTATAATCCGCATCTTTCTGGATTCTTATTGTTGCAATTTTGGACTGTTGATGTGGATATTTCTAGAGCATCGGTGTTGCTTAACTAAAAACAAAGAACTTTAAACATATTTCATATCCGTTTAACTTATAACCTCTGTAATAAATAATACTTACATTATACAGCATTTCAAAATTACATTTCATATATTGAATTAGCATTGGTGTTCGTCAACTTTATCATTATCATCATCGTCACTGTCGTCATCAGTTTCGCTGTCATCATCTTGCCCAATAGTTATTATAACTATTTCCATTTCCTCCATAAATTGATCATTTTCCCAAAATTTATCTTCAATGTCCCTAACATGTTGACAAAATTTCTGCCAATCATTAATGGATATTAAGGACATCGCTTCCTGTGTAACTTCTTTCAGTGCGGTTAAACTGAAGTTTCCAGTGGTATTGCGGCTTCTTATATGAAATTTAAGCTTTGCCCAAGCTAATTCTATTGGGTTTAGCTCGCATAAATAAGGAGGTGTTCTTAGAGGAGTATGTCCATGTGAACTTATGATCCGATCAACTACATAATTTTTTTGGTTGTCAGGGGGCTTATGAAGTAAGACCAGATCGAACAAGTCAAATTTTCTGGCAGTTGCCTCATGATTTATGCCTATAAAATATTTTATTGTATAGTTTGATATGTACATGCATGTTTTGAGTCATAAGTACCTTTCTTTGTCAACCAGGCCATTATATCTTTTTTCGAAGATGATTTTGTCGGGGTTTTATCTTCCTGGACGGAATGATATGGAACATTGTCAAATACTATAACCGAATTGGCAGGTATATTCGGGAGGAGTTTTTCGGTGAGCCAGGGTGTGAAATTTTCCCGATTCATCTCACCGTGGTAATCGCCGGTAGCTAATCCCGCCTTAAATATCAAACAGGCATTGTCAACAAATCCATTTTCTGAACCTGCATGCACTATAATGAGTCGACCTAAAATATACAAGACGATTATATAATATGTTACAAATCAGAGTTAAATTTAACATATATATATATATATATAGCATTTTTGCTTAGCTGTAGAACCTATACTGCTTATTACACCAGAAACAGTTTCGCTCTGCCATCATTTTTTGAAAGTCAAGTCATTGTCCACCCAGGTTTCGTCCAAATAAACAATATTGCGCCCTTCTTCACGATATCTACGTATTTCACGGATGTATTTGTACCTCCATTGCAATACATTAGGCCTCTCCATCAAAACTTTTCTTTTATTTTGACATTTGCGCCAAAAAAACCATTTGATTTTAATAAACTCCTGAGTGTTTCCCTAGAATAGGGGAAATTTGAGTCTTCTCGCAACTTTTGTAATAACTTCCTAGTTTTCGGGACAACTTTATATTCAAGATAAAATCTGTTTATCAAATGTCTAATAATCTGAAAATCAAAATCTTCATCTTTCTCAACAAGAGACTGACGCGGTCTTTTTTTCCCGGGGCTGGATAACATTTTATTGGGGTTTTTTTCTAGTCTTTCTTTATCTTCGTTATGAATTTTCCTAACAGAAGATACTCCGACTCCGGTATAAAGGGTCACCCTATCAAGCTTACGTTTAAGCAGCAACTTGAGGGAATTGTTTGCCGCTTCCTCATCGCAAACCCTATAAATAATCATCAGAATGTTAGCTTAGCATTTCCTTGTTTTTTATTTATATTCAGACTCAGTCGTCAAAAATTACAATTATTGCATATTATTATTACTAACCTATAAACATTCGCAATCACTTCTCTTGTTTGGCTATGAACCGTCTTTCCGCGAGTAAATTGGTTCATTTTAAAAAAATAATACTAAAACTAATAACAATAACAAATAACAGTGTTACTAAACTATTCAAAATCACACAGTACTAAACATACAAACTTAATAGAACAGTAAATAGTTAACAATAATAGTTGTAAAACTCATACGCGACATTCAACGGAGATAAAACCTACGCCACTGGACTTTTCAATAGTATGGATATTCTAAGAAACGAGCAAAAAATTGTCTGGGACGCTACCCAATAGGGAGTCGAATTTTCTCATGGCGACAAAACATGTGAGGATATCCGCCAATCAGATTCGTTCAGGCGGTGTCCAATATAACTTTCGGGTGGTTGTTGCCAGCTCAACCGATGTCGATAAGATCTTTGGGAAAATGTTTACTTATAATACGATTCAGTAGTAAAAAATAGTTATTAAATACAAATAGAGCTATCAACCCATAAAAATACTCAGTATTTTGAATTATTATTTTTTGGAATTGTGAAAAATCGATTTTCAAATCATTGAAATTACTTCATTATTGCTTTTTTGTAGTTAAATTTGGCAATATCGAATATTTTCGGTCGCATTCCTTTCGCTGTTGCAGATCCGTTTGCCAAACTTTAGCTTTGTTTTCTTGCAGAATTTCAACACAATCGCTTCAGTAGTGCCTCAGATATGTGACAACAAATATGTGGCATATGTGGCGTATTCGTAGAAACTGGATTTAGAACTTTCTTTATTTTTGGACACGAAAATGCTTGGGCCCATACTACCTACCATCCACTTTGTATTAATAAGTACAGAACACCCTGTATAGCCATTTTCATCGTAACATAGGTATGAAATCCTGATAAAATACTTGCAAGTTTTGTTTTGGGGCACTTTATCCTAGCTCTAAGGCCCGTATCGTCAGTCGTCCCTACAATTGTAGTGCGCGTTTATGGTCTCCTTGACTGTCATAGTTTTCTACTTCTCCGTGTCAGCGCTCTATTTTGAGGTTATGTCACAAACATCTATTTGCATCAAATTATGCTTGCTTTTGAGTTATATCATGTTTTGTCAGCCTGAAATTTCCTACAATTTAAAAAGAAAACATATCTTCACAATAGGAGAGCGCTGGCGCTGATACGGGACAAGTGTAATCTAGAAATTTTTGAAGGAGAGAAAGGAGTATGACAATCAAGGAGGCCATTAACGCACCCTAGGGACGACTGACAATACGGGCCTAAGTAGGCATTATGACAGCAGCAGTCTCAATAATTCAAACTTTGTACACCGAGAGCAATTCGGTATCGTATCTTTATATTTAAACTGTCGAGGTTATAGAACATCCTTCCTGATGAAGTTGTTCCTAGTTCTACTAAGTTTTTATCTTCATGGCTACTTCAGTTTAAAAAAAACAGTCATACCGTCCGCATGATTAATTGATCAGCAATCACCGGGGAAAGCAGCGAGATCCAAACAGATCTGAAGCGACACAAAAATTCAATTTGCCAATAAATTTGTTGGCTCATTCAATATACAGCTTGTTATTGGCAAAGTTTGCTCACAAAATTTTAATTATTCCATTTTTAAATTGGAAGCCGAACGCTGCTGCAGTGTGGCGGTCGAAGTGACTCATTATTTAATTAAAAAGTCGATAAGAATATTTATGTATAGAGGAGTTGCTTCGACAATAGTCCGAGAAAAGACTATACCTTTTTATGCCAGAAACAGAGGCAAACTGCTGGCGGGTCTATCTGGCAGTCTCGTGGATTAAGGGCCAGAAGTGCTAGCCCGTCGGCATATCGGTAGGAAAACGAATTCGAGTAGGTTAGAATAAACGAAGCCATCCAAAAACTACCAAAGTGACAAACCAAAACATCCGCTTACATTTTTTCTATGGAAAAGGTATTCAAATAGCCGGTCGTGCTGAGAGTATTCACATTTCCGTGTATTGAAGAAAGAAACTAAACCTAAATAGATTCATGCATAGTTCAAGTGATCGGACTCCAAAATGCCGAGCTCGTTACAGGACCGAACTAAAGTACTACCTGAGGGGTTTTTAAATCAGTCCAGTTGATATGTCATTCAGGAAAGCTTGCCTTGAGGAATCTATAGAAAAATCTATCCTGTGTATGCCCAGCGTTGACCCATGTTTCATTTAGGAAGTACACCTATATCTGTCTACCTTCTGTACGAAGTTTCTTGATTTTTCTTAGATATTCTCTTATCCAGAAAAATATTGCGTCTTTTTCTAATAATAAGCCGTTTCTTTCTGTTTTTTGTATACCAAAATTCCATTTCTTTTAGTAACCTATGGATGGTAGATCTTTTGAATCTTGGCAAATCCTTATAGTCATTAACCACCTGTAGAAGAAAAAGAAAAGAAAATATTATTTACAATTCTTCTTTTGACTGTTCTGTCGAAGTCACCTATCGCATCGTTTATTTTTTTCCTGGCGAATTCTTTTTTTGGTCGGCCAGTGATTGAGCCCTATACTCCCGAACAATGCGGTTAACACTTTATCTACTGACCCCAGAAATATTTCTTACTTTGCAAACACTTCAACACTTAAATCGTTCCTTTTTTGAATTTCGTGTTTATAAATGCTGAAAATAATTTTTTTTCGTCAACACTAAAATGAAGCTTTTCAGGTTTATATTTAGGCGGTGTGTAGCTAACATCAATAACTTGATCAGCTGTATTACAAGCAAACCGACAAACCTAAATCAGCTCACAGCAATAGCACTAAAAATGTGATGTATACAGGGTGACTTCGAAGTTGAGTCATTTATTTTAACAGTGAGTAGATCTGATCAAAAGAAATGTTTTTTTCCTTTACCATTTTTCTGGTAAAATTAAAGTAACAAAGTTATAGCCCTTTGGAAGTTTGAGTACCGCCCTGTCTCAATAATAATATCATGTACTCGTGTTTGGCAACAACGGATATAATCCGCCTTACCGGTTCATCGCATCGGAAACAAAAAAGCGAAAGAATTTGGAACGATGTTTTTGCAATGAAGTATTTTATTCAGTTCAGTTATACATACAGTCAGTGTCTGTCCGTTAGCGTGTTAATAGTGTCTGTTGCGTGGCTCAAACGAAATAAAAAATGGCACATGTTTATGCGGATCGGTTTCCCAATCGAGTGCAACCAACCCCTCGTGCCTTTGTTAATGTAGTACATACAACGGGCTCGTGAATCAGGTGACTTAAGACCTCACAGGGGACCTCACGATCAAATACAGGTCCGCACTGAAATACTTGTCGGGAGGATACTTTTTAAAACAAGGTAAATTTTTTTTTTTACTTTTTTTTATTTTTACACACATATTCTGGTTTATCTTCCTTCTACAATCATTATCTGAAAATTAATGACTCAACTTCAAAGTCACCCTGTATAAATAGTGGAAGAGCTCGCCTTTGAAGAAATCGGAAAATTATGCAAAGCGTACTCTTTTAACTTACAGCTTAAGCTTTCGACAGTCTATGTTATCATCATCAGGAGCTAAAAGCAAATTTAAAAGACAAATAGTTACCATACTCCTTTGATTAAAATTTTATTGCTTACTGCGTCAGCGAGATTGGTGCTAAAATTTGATCTTAGATAATGCGGATGAGGCCACATAGTAGGACGATCAAAAACTGGACTTATGAGATTCTTCTGGACAAATTATTACAATCCACGGCAATGTTACCTATACAGGGTGTTCCATAATTATTGCGACAAAATGATAGGGGTTGTAGAGGGCATAAAAATATGCAATTTTGCCTTATAAACCCCTGTTCGTAAATATGCCGTTTGAGCACTACCGCTAATTTTACCTTAAGAGCTCATAGGAGAAACAAAAATTTCACCAGCTGCAAAATGTTCGTCTAGCACATTTCATGGTCTCGCCGGTTTGTAAAAAAAGCCTGCTGAGTTTACATTTTTGTTATCGTAAATTCTCCACACCGATTCATTTAATTTGTCTGAGTGGTGCGTCAAACTAGATAGTAAATAACAGTACCTTATTGTTAAAATGCAGCGTTATTCGTATGCGGAACTTACGGATATTCATTTAATTTACGAAGAAGCTGGTGGTAGCGGAAGACGAGCCTCGCGAATCTACGCCCAACGGTTTCCAGAACGTCCTTATCCGCATCACGCCATTTTTGCAAGGCAACCAAACTTTGGTCGCTACGTTTTGTTCACTGACGAGTCCTGTTTTACAAAGGACGGTTATTTTAATAGCCGTAACAGTCACATTTGGGATGAAGAAAACCCTCATGCCATAGCCCTCCATAGAGACCAACATCAGTTTTCAATTAACATCTGGTGCGGCATCGTGGACGAGCATATCATCGGGCCATATTTGCTTCCACCACGTTTGGATGGGCATGCTTATGGTCGATTCTTACAGCATGTGCTACCGGAACTATTAGAAAATGTGCCGCTGAACATAAGAGCCAACATGTGGTTTCAACACGATGGCGCTCCAGCCCATTTTTCTTTACAAGTGCGGCAGTATTTGGACGATAAATTTCCAAATAGGTGGATAAGCCGAGGTGGCCCTGTGCCTTGGCCTGCGCGGTCACCCGACCTGACCCCACTGGATTATTTTCTCTGGGGCCATCTGAAAGCTTTAGTGTACGAAACTCCTGTTCCCAACCAACAAGAGCTACTGGGAAGAGTGATGGCCGCGTCCGCACATGTTCAGGACATACCGGGGGTATGCCACAAAGTTCGCCGATCATTGAACAATCGTGCACAGCTGTGTATTGAGCAAGGTGGAGGACGATTTGAGCAATTACTGTAGGTAAGCTGTTTCAAGAAACTGATCTTTTTTTTTGTTGCAGCCCAAACGGCATATTTCCGAACAGGGGTTTATAAGGCAAAATTGTTTATTTTGATGCCCTCTACAACCCCTATTATTTTGTCGCAATAATTATGGAACACCCTGTATATAAATCTGTAGAGTATAAAAATATTTTTCAAGTGAGGGGCATACTGTTTGCTACAATTTTTGTAATAGCTTCTTCAGATAACATGCGTAACAATGGAGCCCACAAAAAAAACTGACACGGTATGTAGACTTACTCTTTATTAATTATTTATGTACCTTGAAAAGAGCCGCTGGGATTGCGGAAACGTTAGTAAAGTATTTGATTCCATTCGTCTAAAATCTTTGAAAACTTTCACTCTGCTATGCAGCAAATGAACCAATATTTGGGGGCCTTTACTGAATTCCATTACTGCTTCCAAGTAATTAAGTAATCAATTATGCGCAAATACATCGACTGTTAATTATCCGTTTTATAATAAAAGCTGACGGAAACTTTTTTAAATCTGGCTGTCTCGTTAATTAATGAATCCAGTCCTTCCTTTGCATATGTTGATTTGTAGAGCAGAAGCCTGGCGTCAAATAAGTTGACAGTGCACTTTCCACGCTACGCTGTCATCAGTTCGTAAAGGCTTATCTTTGGCTCGAGTTAGCCCTTCTGAGAAAAGGGTCAGTCACGAATACGTATAACAAAATATTAATTGACCTTCCTCCTCCTCCTGAGCGGAATTGCTGCAGGTGCATATGATTGTTGCGATGAAAAATCCCGCGAAAATAACGGTATTGGCCTTCAGTTCACGTAGCTTCCCTTAGTGCGGAGGCGATTGCCGACTGTGACTTACGACGACCAGCGACGACGATGCTTGTCCATCGGGGAATGACGTCGCATGCATCGACACCCGACTGTAGGAGATATTTCTATGTTATAAGGATACCCCCTATCCACCAATATATAACCGTAACCAAAATGAAGTTTGAGCGATTTTTCTCTTTTTCCCCTTTTGGCCTTTTTCTCCGCCGCTACAGAACCGATTAACAAAACTTTAAAGGTTTTGCGTCCTTGGCATAGTACTAACAATATGTGAGAACTTCATAGAAATACAAGCGGTACATCTTAAGTTATAGGCGGTTATAGGAGTAGCGGACAGACAGACAAACCGACGGAAATGAGTGAGATGGTTTTTTGTGATTTACATGTCGTATAACATCCAAAAAACATAATATAACATTCTCGACAATTTTCGCAATTACAATACTTTCCCGCCAGGAGGCGTGCGAAGTAAAATCATTACATTCATTATCACTAATTAAATGGGGTATTTTCCAAAAATGTCTCATATCAACTGAATGTCTAGATTTTAACCTATATTCTCAGTGATATCACTTTTATCTATGAACGAAAATTAGAAAAACTTAGGTATCATCCAAAGCTAAAATGTAACATCTTGCGTAATGTGAACCTGTTTCTGTCATGAAGGTTGAGCTTCCGTCAATTACTAACCTGATCAATCACCATTACTGACCGCAATGCCTTATTGGTAAGTAGCATTTTCTCTTCCTAGATCAAAAAGACTATAGATAGGACGTTAAACTGCGTAAGGGATACACGTATTCGTGTAGTGTGGTTCTCGGAAATCCGTTGATGGCGTAGAGCGTATCTTTCCTGGTTCGCAGTCATGGTGACAGCAACAGATGATATGCCACATGCGAAGAACCTGAAATTCATTTCATGCGCAATGTCCTTCGTCGTAGACTCTCTGGGCTTCACCCTCACTCTATGAGTTTGGTCACATTTATGTAGTCTTCGCGCTCTAGATAAATAATAAAACCAAAAACACGTAGGTAAATACAAAAATTGTATCCTGTCAGCTTGATTGTGTCAGTTTCATAACTGAACTTTATATTTCGAAATATTATCGAAAGATTGAGAAATAAGTAATTTTTAGTGCTGCTAATGATCCATCTTGAATACCCCAATAATCTACATAATGTTCGAAAACTTAATGTTAACAAAAGGAAAACATTACTTCCCATGGAAGGACCAGTCCAAATCAGACCTGCTGGTTGTTGCATTCATTTATTTGAGCTTGTCAGTTTGAAACTATGATTTAAAACTAAGACTGAAGGGAGCTATGGAATGCGAGGAATGTGGTCAGCACGTCTAGAATATAAATCACAAAAATAAAAACTGTTTGAGTTGTAACGTATAAAAGTAAAACGGACAAACATGGTGATCTTCGTGCTTAGCCAGACAAGATGCTTCTGAAGTAGCAATTTTTTAGCCCTAAACATATTTCACTGTTGAGCTCTGTTATAGAAACTGCCTTCATGTCCTTCAGTCAATGCGATCTTCTGAAAACAACCGACTGTGTAAACAGAATGTAATAATTAGTCTAGCTATCCCTTTGCTTTCCTTTGCTGTTTGTACAAGTCGGCGCCAACCGCTCACTCTACTATTTACCATTTTGTATTTTGTGTATTTGAGTCTCTTTTGATGTTGATTCCACAGAGGGTATTGGATACAAGAATATGAAATTGCGTTC